AGGAGAGGGGGGGGTTGTTAGAGGAGGACATCCTGACAAAAAACAAAAACGAAGGGCGGGGGAAGTGTCATGTGCAGCAAAATAGTTGAAAATGGACATGCACATTAGACGAATCTGGGAGAAATGAGGCAGACGTTGAGAAACCTGGCTTCAGAAGACGGCCACGCAACACAACACCGTGGAGTGGAGCACTCCAGACGCACAAGAACCCCGTGGCCAAACAAAAATCGATGCTCTCGGTTTTACCTGCCGCGAGGTGCAGAGGCGTGAGTTCGCCGTTTCCGCCCTGCCCGGGGGGGGCTCCAGACCGCAGCAAGGCCCTCGTGAGGGGCACGTCGCTAGTTGCGACAGACCCCATCAGAGGTGTCATTTTCGGGGAATTCTGACAGGCATAGAGACAGCAAGCCAAGGAGGAAGAGGGGGGGGGGGGGGGGGGGCGTGCTCTTATGTTTCGCATCCCTCAGCTGTGTCACCATTGACCACACGCCCTCGAGACGATGGAGCACTGTTCCCACGGGACAGATCACCGATGGCCAAAAGACCCTTCCTAGAATACTGGCGGCTCAAAAACGCTCTCCCTGTCCTGTCTACACTTCTTGCCTGCTTAGGCCACTTCTTAAGCTACCGTCGTCTCCAGGCTGTTCCATCCCTCAAAATTCTCTCTGTAACATGTTTTATTTTCCCCAGCTCAGTCATGCACGTGTACGTCTCTCCTTTCGCAAAACGGACATTCCGCAATTACATGAGAGGGCGGGGGGTGTACTCATAGTTGTGCATGCCGTAGCCGCTAGGCCTTTGACCTCGCATTCCTACAAAGCCGGAAGGGAGCACGCCGGGTTCTCACCGGATCAGGCTCTCACATCACCAAGCGCGAAACGCCGTGAGGTATTCGGCGAGTCGCATGAAGGGTGCGCTGCATCCTGCTAAGGGTGTTCGGCATCTTGTGCTGACATAATTTATTCTCTGGTGCTTTCACTTCCAGAGACTGCCTCGAGGATGCTTGACCATTTTAACACAACGTGGTGCGAGTATCCCCTTTGCGCGGAGTGAGGATTCTCGACCCCGCACAACATGATCTACTCGACCACCATTACGGTTACCGCCAAAAAAAGAAAACAGAGGTAACAAAGAAAAACGGTAACCTGGTTGCCGAGTTCACGAAGTGAATTGGCTTGTTTTACAACGTCGTTGCTAAGCGACGAAAACCCAATCCCGATGGCAAACACCGAGGGGGGGGGCTTGTTTTACAACGTCGTTGACAAGCGACGAAGGGGGGGGAGGGACGAAATGAGAGAGGCGAAACTCGGGTGGGAGAACGGGGCGGGGGGGGTTGGGGTCGAAGGTAGTAAAATCACAACCACATTTCAAGCTTTGACCACCGAGCGTCTCTTGCTACACCTCCAGCGGCCGGAATAGATAGATTAAACCAAGACAAAGACGCACGCGATAAACACGATACAACAAGAACATCGAGCGCGCACCCGCAACGAAAAATAACAGGCGCTACCCCAACTCAGCAAAAAAAACAATTCATGGTATTTACCTCCGTGTCGGCATCAGCCCCGAACGCTAGCAACACCTCCGTGACCCCCAGATGCCGGTGCGCCACCGCCGTCATGAGCGCGGTGAAGTTGATCCCGTCCCTCTCCTCCAGGGCCGCCCCTGCGTCGCAGAGCAGACTCGCGATCTCGGCGTTCCCCTCCCTGGCCGCGAGGATGAGCGGGGTGCCGCCTCCGCCGCCGTAGCCCGCGCCGCCGCCGGTGTTCCCGCCGAGCCGGAAGTTTTTGTCGGCCCCTCCCGCCAGCAGGCTTCGGACGGCCGAGACCTGCGCCGTCTCGACGGCGTACTGGAGGGGCGGGCGCCGGTCGACGTCGATCGCGTCCGGGTCGGCGCCCGCGCGGATGAGGGCGGAGATCCAGTCCGCCTGCCCCGTAGTGCTCGCCCAGTGGAGGGCGGTCCTCAAGTGCTCGTCTCGGGCGTCGCAGTGGAAGCCCGCGTTCGTCGTCGGCATCGTCGGCGTGCCGTCGGGCACCGCTTCCCCCGCCGCTGGGGCTGTAGATTCCCTTGCTGCCAGCGCGTCTGCTGCGGGGTGGTCGTCCGTTGCGCGAGACGATTCAGCGGCAAGAGCAGCCGCCGCTCGATCAGCGAACTCCCGAGACGATTCCGCGGCAGAAGCAGTGGGAGAGACGAGCGCGGACAGGAGGCTCGTCGGCCGGCCGTGGCCGTAGGCCGCGACCGCGTGAAGCGGGTGGAAGACGAACTGCGCGTTGTCGACGCCGACGAAGGCGTTTAAGTCGTCCGCGAGGAAGTTGTTGGTGTTGCCGCCCCTCAGCTGCTGAGTCGCGACCGTTCTGGCGTGGAACCGCACGATGTCTGGCCAGTTTCTGTTGGGAGTGGTTCCGGGACCGGGCGGGCGGGGGGGGGTGGCGTGAAAGCCAGGTACCTCGTCGAACTACTGCTGTATGTACCTACTGGAGAACATGGGTTCTCCGCCGGCAATCTGTCATATCCATCACATCCCGTTCGACTGTGGGTATATCTCGAACGGGCAGTCTTTCTGTGATTGTATTCATTTTGATTTTTCCTAATGTTGAGTGGAGCCTTGTATACATAGCGTAACAGGTGCTGTGCCGTGTGACAGCAGTGACAGGCGCGGCGGATCTTCGGAACCGCTCCGCCGCACCGCTCGCGGAGAAAAAAGAAGCGAGAGAAACCTTCAACAACGGGTTTACTTACAGGGCTGTTTCGCGTCCGAAAGCAGCTTTCCATTGAAACTAAATCATCGCACCCATCATTCGCTTCTTGTGGAAAGCACAGGAAGTGTGTGCCGCTACCTTCGCTGCCTATCGTTTGCACATCGACGGCACCAACACACACACGAGAACGCGACGAGTGAACCTACAGGTCCGGCAGCGCACGCATAGCCAGCGTTCCGAACGTAGATGTCATGACATTCTTGATGAACAGGTCCCAAGAATCCTCCTGATGTTGTTGTTGTTGCTGGTTAACTGGTCCTTCGTTGCTCATGGTGTCGTCGTGTGCTGTGTGTTCATCCACGTGAAATGAGTGCAGCCGCTGCAGGGCTCAGTGACCATGGGTAGGGCAACCCGGGCAACCCGGGAACCAGTTCTATTAATTTCGCGCGAAGCGCGAAAAAAATACGAAGAGGCGTTTGGGCTGAAGCCCAAAGTCTTAATATGACACAACGAATCCATCTCGATCATAGAAAACGGCGGGAAGCGCGCCGGGCGATGAGAGGCAACTGGAACTCAGCAACGTGGAGAGTTCTCAAAGCAGCGTGTAAGGGGGTGGCTACAGCAGTCGAAACGGGCGTTTATGCCCACCTGGACGGATATGTGACTGAATTCGAAGCAACCTACAAAGATCGCGACATGAGAGGACTGTACCAACAACACCTCAAGAGGTCAGTGGGTCAGCGGGAGACAAGCGGGGGGACAGCAGTTCGTCGCGGATGAGAACGGCGTGTTGCTCCGGAACAGGGACGACATCTTCCAACGGTGGGCGAGATTCTTCAGCACCCTACTCTACACCAAATCCCCCACCCTGAACCCAGACATCATCGAACGAGTGACGCAGCGGCCAGCGACACGTGACACTCAACGGTTGGGAGAGGTGCCAGAACTCGAGGAGGTGGCACGGACAGCGAAAGGCCTCAAGAACTGGAAGGCACCCGGCCAATACTCCCTCCCTGCCGAGTTGCTCAAGATCGACGACGACGAACCCTTTGTCCTGGGACACCTCCATACCATCCTCGTCAAGGTGTGGGACGGAGGAGATATCCCGCGAGAGTGGAAGGATGCAACCATCAAGGTGCTGTACAAGAAGGGTGACCGGTCCAACTGTAACAACTACAGGGGGGTTTCGCTACTATCTCACGTAGGCAAGGTCCCCATCAAGATCATCACCAACCGTTTAAGCGCCTTCTGCGAAGCCAACAACATCCTCCCGGAGGAACAGTGCCGATTTCGACCCGGGCGATCCACCGTCGACATGCTGTTCGTCGTGCGCCGCCTCCAGGAGCTGGCTGGGGCGAAGAAAGAAAATACCGCTCTAAATGTGCTTCGTCGACTTGAAGAAGGCGTATGATTCGGTGGACCGAGAGATGCCAAGGAAGGTGCTGGCCAGGGCCGGGATTCCCGGGAAGCTAATCAAAGTCATCCGCCAACTCCACGATGGAATGCGGGCCCGGGTGCGCATGGACGACGGAGAACTATCGGACTGGTTCTTCGTCACACAGGGCGTGCGACAAGGATGTGTGCTATCCCCACTGCTGTTCAACATCGTCTTCGCCGAGGTCCTCGATGTCGTCGTTATCTGATTCAGCGAGGATGATGTTGTTCTGCGGAACCTGGTGTGCTTGGAGGAGGGGAAGATGGAAGCGGGGGAGGGGGAGGAGACACCCCTTGACCGAGTACGGAGGGCAGTATGGGGGATGCTGTATGCTGATGATGCCGGCGTCGTATCGAGGTCTGCAGAAGGACTATCGAGAATGATGACCATCATCGTTGAGGTGTTCGGAGAGTTCGGGCTAACGGTGTCGGAGAAGAAGACGGAGGCGCTCCTGATGCGCGCGAAGGACAAGTCGACTACAACATCACAGCCCCCCCCGCCTCCACCGCTGACCATCGAAGCCGCGGGACAGAAATACGCCCAGACGACCGAGTTCCGGTACCTCGGTGGCCTCGTCAACGAACATGGCGACCTCACCCGGGAGATCAACTACAGGAGCAGAGGAGCGTGGGCGTGCCTCAGGCGATATGGCCAGGAGCTCTTCGACAGACCGAAAGCGCCATTCCGACTCAAGATCCGCCTCCTCCAGGCGGAGGCGATGGAGGCACTGCTGTATGGCTGCATGACATGGTCACCACTCAGCGGCCACTATCAGACGCTGCGGTCGACACACCACCGACTGCTCCTTCGAGTTATCGGGTACAAGCGCAAGAAAGACACCTACCGGCAGCTCTCTTACGCCCAGACGCTGAAGAGGGTCGAATGCCAGAGCGTTGAAGCCACGATCCGACAACGACGCCTACTGTTCGCGGGAGCACTGGCAAGGCAGCCGGACGGGCGACTCCCGAAACGACTGATGCTCGGCGAACTGGCGGGGGGGGGGGAGAAGCCACGTAGGGGGGGACAGGAACAGAACTGGCTGAAGTGTGTGCTCGACGACTTGAAGGCATTCGGGGCCGACCACGGATATACGAAAACCGATCCATGTTGTGTCGGAATCCCGGTACCGAAAGACACGGCACCGAAGTTAAAGTGGACGGAAGCCGCGAAGGTGGAGGGGGGAGTACCCTGGCATGCGGCGGTGCTGCAGGGAGCTGAGAGGTTCATGACCTCCTGGCACGAGAAGGAAGAAGAGGCCAGCCGGCAACAAGCGCTCAAACGAAACCACAAGCCAACAACCGATGGGGCGGGAGGGGGGCAGGAGACGGACGAGACGGCGAGGGAAGAAAGCAAACGAGAAGAGACGGACCGAGTGGCACGATACGTGCCGGATAGAATTTCTTTTAGCCAATTCCCCCTCCCCAACGCTGCACCACATTGCACCAACCCCCCAGTAGTGATGACGTACCATTACAATGTATCGCTGGTTGGTGGCCATGTTTGCGTGTTTGCTTGTTCGTTAGTGGTCTCTCCACCGTGTGCCTGTTTCTGCCTCTTATTTCTTGTTATTTTCGGCCTGGTCCCGTTTTGTCCTCGCTCTTCATTTTATTTTCATTTTATTTTCTCTTTTTCTTACTGTTTTCTCATTATTTTATTTTTTTCTCTTTTTTCTCTTTTTCTCTCTTTTTCTCTCTTTTTCTGTGCCAGATGGCCTTGTCTCTGCTTGCGTTGTGAAATACCAAGATTGAACCAAGGGGGTGCACCTCTTTCTCTCCGGCCCATGATAGTGACTCCTAGTCTCAGTTGATACCTCGCATAGCGCGCAGAGGGAGTGGAGGACTCCAGAATATCTGTCGTTGATTTCTATTGGCTTGCGGACCCCTCGGGGCCAGTTTATTTGAGTGTACCTTTTTAGGGCAAGTTAACCTGTGACCAAGGGAGGAATCGACCGCGTCGAGTGTTGGATCAGTACGGACATACGAAGGTACTGGGTAGAGAGAGATCGGAACGGTTTTTGATGTGAAGACAACAACAACAACAACAACAACAATAGAAAAAAGTCAGAGACAGATTTTTTTCTCCTTTTTGTGCCGAGGGAGTGCAATAATTAAGAGGCTTTACGATTGACCTTTTTTTTTTCTTGCATGCGTCTGTTATACGTGTACATATCTCTTTCAAATAAGCTCACGAGGGGGGGCCTGCGAATAGGTACAGCCTGCATGGGGTATCTATAATAGTGGCCACAGGTGTAACACAGAGTACTACAGACGGACCGGAGACCGGAGACGGTAACCACCCTCCTATTCAAGCGTGCATGACTCCCGGTGGAAGGCCAGATGGACGTGCGGGACTTCTGCAATCAGCGTTTATGCCCAGTTTAGAGAGAGACACCGGCATGACACGGGGAGTGAAGAGAAAATAAATCCGTCTCTGACACGTTACATAAACAAACGCTGTCACAGGCCTGCCGACGCCCGCAATTTTGTCGCTACGTGTGTACAGTAGACCACGGCCCGTTGCTTCATCTATGAGAGATTAACGTACTCCGTGAGTCTGCTCATCGTTGTACACAACTAGTCCAGTACTCAACAAAGTGGCTGAAGAATGCAAACTACTGCTGCTGTACCGAGAATACCGACCACTTCACGTGCCCGTGTGCCCTGTGTGCCCATCGAATATTCACTTGTTGTTACAAAAATAACCGCTCACCATCGGAGGTAATTTCGTTCTTATTGCAATGTGGCAAGGAATGGTCAAGCGTGGCTGACTTTAGTCGGCCTTGCTAGGTTGAAAGGTGGGAGTGAGCCTCAGGGGCCCGCTTCCTGGTCACAGCAGACGGAGGGTCTTTTCGTTGTAAAGATCTTTAGATCTCGAGAACGTCGTTCAGGGTCACGGATCTAAGTTGTATGTGCGTCCCTACCACTGGGAAGATACCTATATTCTGGTTCCACAGTACCACAAGATAATACCAGCTGGAAAATGCCCACCACTTCGCGTGCCCATGTGCCTTGTGTGCCTTGTGTGCCCATCGAATATTCACTTGTTGTTGATACGAAGCAAGTGGACCCGCGCCACAACTACTTTACCCACAGCACCTTCTAGGACTCGTCCCTTGCAGCAGTTCCAACACGATCTGTATTTATTTCTCGCGTCGCTGACGACACCATGAACCAACTCGGGCACGTAAGGAAATACTCTCCGTTCCGTACTAAGCCAGCAGACAGCTGACATATGTCTCCGAAGGTAAGCTTTCATACCTCCACCACCACGCCGCAAACAACGGCGGCGCGAAGGCAAGTGATCCCTCTCTGTTTCCTGCTACTACTCTTGTACACGGGGCAAAAGCATCCCACAAGCCACGAAAAAGACGAACCACTAAACAAACCAGTACTTTGTCAGAGGGGCGCGACCCTACGCTACTCCCTGATAGAGAGAATCCCTCATCCCTTCTCGAGCATCAACTTGCGCGCTGCCCGATATTTCGCCGCTACCAACACCTCCAGCAACAACATCGGTCCCATCGTCCCGGGCTGTCAAAAGCCCAGGCAATACCGGAGGAACAACGTCTATCCCGTCCTCCACCCACGAAGGTTTCCACAGCCGGCCGCCGCCGCCGCCGCCGCCCACATTAGCCCTACTCCACGCCCTCCCTTCTCTCAACAGCCATCCCTGCAACGTCCTTCTAGACAGGGAGACAACAAGCCCGCGCCCGGGTGACCGCATCGACTCCTGCGCCTCGCGGAGGAGTTCCAGCTGCCGGCGGCGCCCCCCTTGGTTCCCGTCGCCTCGCTCGCGCGTGGCGGCGTTGTCAGTGGGCGGGTGCCGCCGCTCCCCCGGCTGGCCCAGCAGCTCGAGGTCGCCGTCGAGGGGCCCGTCGAAGCGGCAGCTGCCAAGCAGCCACAGGATGCCCTTGAGGTTGTCGAGCGCCGGCCACGAGCCCTTCACGCTGGTTATCATGACGAGGTCGCCTTGGGGAGGGTGGACGTGTCTCTCAACCTGTGCGCTCCCCCCCCCCAAAAAAAAGCGTACACGCCGAGTTGATGGTGCGAGTTAGAGGTAGCGATGGTGGCAGGAGCGGGAGACACAGATGGTGAAGGGAGGCCGAGGACGCAGGAAAAGGGGCGGTGGTAAAACAAGGGACGAACGGGGGACGGCAGCGAGTCAGTCAATACCTTGAGAATTTCGTTGTGATCATAATGCCACATGAGCGGTGCTAACAGGAGGTGCAATGTACACACACTCGAAGAACATCCGGCACCGACCCCATGCACACCAGGATGTGCATCTTCGCCACAAAAACAAAAAGCACCAGTGGCGCTGTCGAAGCTTTATCGCCCAACCCCGGCATCACCCTCTGCCAGAAGCCGCACACACGCCAGCCTTCACCCCCCCCCCTCACCCCGCTACTCCCCCCGACAACGGAGCACGTGCACTCAAGCCACTCACCGTCTCCTCGTACGCGTATTTCCGCCGCATGTCGCTCAGCACGAGGTTCAGCGCCGCCAGCGGCATGCCGTGGTGCATCTGGTAGTCCACGCAATCAAGGTTGAGCACCCCGGCCGACTGGCTCGCCCAGTGCGCGTCCGCCGGCAAGGCCTTGGACTCCACCCCGGCCTCGTAGAGGGCCAACGACGCGGACCTACGGCGTTCCTTGGTCGCGTCGCCGGCGTCCTCCGCCGCCACCGCCGTCCCGCCGGCGCCCCCCCAGACCTTGCACATGGTCTGGAGCACGGCCTCCTGAGAGGCGCTCCGACAGCCCGACCGCAGCATCGATCGGCACCCGTCGCTGAACAGCTCGATGGCGGGTAACAAGTGCGCCGGGATGTCCCCTCCCGCCGCTTCCGGCGTCGTGCCGCCGTCTGCACGGTCGGGCGCTAGCCGCCCTCCCGGCAAGAGCCACCGGATCGCTTCCGTGTACACCAGCGCGTCCTGCCGATGACGGTCCACCACGGGCTCGCTGCTGCCGCTGCCGTCGCCTTCCGCCTTGCCGACTCGAGCATCGCCACCGCCAGGCTCCGGCGTGTCGCATCCCTTCCCCGGAACCCGATCTGATCCGTGCGTCTCACGGGCCACAGGAGATGGTGCGGCGGCGGTGGCGGCAGTAGCCGAAGGCGTGGTTTCTTCCCGCTGCCACCCTTGTTCCCGCCCCCGTGAGCCCGGCGCCAGCACCGCCACGGCGCTTGCCGCCGGCCTGTCGTTTTCTTCCTCGGCGGCGGTGGCGGCAGCGGCAGCGGCGGTGGCGATGGCAGCACCCCCGTCGCCCGACACGCCCCTCTGAGCTCCGGCGGCGACCTTCAACAACTCCAGGCACGCCTTCGAGCCCGCCACCTGCCCCGACGCGGGTTTCTTGGCCTCAAGCTTGGCCTCAAGGAACGCCTCCAAAGACTCCGACGCCGCCACCAGACGAGCACCGCCGCCGCCGTCGCCCGACCGCCTGTCGCCACCCGTTTCCGCCGAGAACCAGGCCACGATATCGGTGGACAGCACCTCCAGCGCCATGTCCCACTTTCCCGCTCGGGTGAAGCCTCGGACGGTCCCCTCCATCCACCCAGGATCGACCGTCGGTGGGCCTGATAATGATGGGTCGCTTCCTGCTCGACCACCATAACCACCGCCTTCCTCGCTGCCGCCGACGTAGCCGGGGCTAAGACCGCCAGCCGCGGGGGTGGCACCGCCGGCCCTTACGCTAGCCTTGAGGAACGAAAGCACCTCCGCCGCCTCCTCCACCCTGCCGAGCTTGAGGTACGCGGTGATCGCGTGCGCGATGGCGGACGGGTGGAAGGACAACCATGCCTGCAGCGGGAGGGGCGACGAAAACTCCCCTGCCTTCTTCTTCCCGCCGCCGCCGCCGGCCCCGCCGCCGAACTCCTCGGGGAGCGGCAGTCGCGTAGGCTTCGCGATTCTAGCGCTCACGTGTGCTTCCTCCTCCTCCTCCTCCTCCACCTCCTCCTCCTCCTCCTCTTCCCCCTCCTCTTCCATCTCTGCTGTGCCCTCGACAGAGCGGCGGCGGCGGCGGCGGCGGCGGCGGCGGCCGTTACGGCTAGAAGGGAAGCCCATATCGCCGATAAAGGCGTCGAACGCCTCGGCGGCTGCCGCCCACCGGTTGGCGCGGCCGTAGATGTCTACCGCGACCAAACGCCACGGCCACTGCCGCTCCGGGGGATGCGACGGGGGCGTTTCGACGGCGGCGGCGGCGGCGGCGTCACGAATCCTTTGCCTGTCAGCCGCGAGCCACTCCTGTACCAGAGAACTGGGCGAGGCCACCATCTCCTGCGATTAAACAGTAGTGATTTTGTCGCGGGGTACGCTATCATGTAAGGGCCGAAACATGCGCGCGAACACACAGAAGAGTATCTTAATCCGAAAAACAGGGCCCTCTTGTCGCCCACCCACCCCCCTCTCCCTCCCCTGGGAAGAGCCCAGTCATCAGAAAGCGTATCCTTGTTGTCTTATCCTGCTTCAATAACAAGTATTGCCATTGATCGGACCGTCACACCGCGGTCGAGACGAGACTTGAAACTGCGAAAAATAAGTAGGAGAGGAGGGTCTAAAAATCTGCAGATATGATGAAGGTAGCAAAAGGGTTCAAATGCTCCGTCCTCTCGAGAGCGCGCGGTCAAAGGTCTAACAGCTAAGGCGAGCAAAACATGTGTACGTCCTCGTGGTTGTACTTGCTATCTTGACGCGAAAGAAATGCTCCGATCTCTATCCACCAGCGACCCTTCTTTCCTCTCCTTCAAGGTCCACCGAACGAGCTTCGGGAGCGCCAACTAAAGAACGAGGCGCAAGACAACCAAAAAAGAAAGCACACCGCTGCTGTATACATCGTGTACCCACCTTGTTCAACTTCTTGATCCTCGCAAACATCTCGTCGAGGTGACGGGCGGCCCCCGTGACTACCCCCTCCCTCCAGTGGGCCACGGCGGCCACGGCAAGCATGTCCGGCGTCGAGGCCTGGAGGCCGAACGCTCGAGACCCCTTGTTGCTCACCAATCGGGAGATCTGTGACAGCGAAGAGCGGACAGATTGGTGGCACCGACTTGTCCTTTTGCCTTTCTCTGTGTGTCGCGGTGCCATGAGTTGCTATCGGACACCGGTGCTGTTGTTTTTCTTCCGAAGACCGATATCCTGAAATACTCTATCCCCATACGTACGCTTGGTGATGTGAAAGCCTGGTCCGGTGAACCCGGCGTGCTCCGTCCCGGGTTTGTAGGAATGCGAGGTCAATGGTCTAACGACTACGGCATGCACGACTATGAGTACCCCCCCCCCCCCCCCAACAGTACGGGTGTATGCCCCCAAATAAGCCCGGAAAAGGGAGGGCGTCGTACTCTTATGTTTCGCATGTCTTAGCGGTTAGACCATTGGCCACGCGTTCTCGAGAGAACGGAGCATTGTTCCTTTTTCCACAGGACCGATCACCGATGAACAAAAGCCCCTTCCTAGAATACTGGCGGCTCAAAAACGTTTTCCCTGTCCTATCTATCCTATCGACATCATCACTTCCCGCCCTTTCAGTCTACTTTCTATGCCCCAGCATAGGTGGGGGGGGACTCACTGACAATCATGACCAACCGCAGAGGTCCCTGTTTAGTGCCGGTTGAATAGTGCCGGTGTTTTCGGCGGGCACACACTGGGTTTCCAAGTCATTTTCTCAGTACTTGGAATAGTTCCGGCCCAGTATAGTGCCGGTGAATTTTCTGGGCACATAATAACGGCACTAAACAGGGACCTCTAGTGTACGTGTCCTCCCTCCGGCACCTGTGCGAAAGTTCCTCGTTCTGGGTGTTCACCGACCACCACCAGAAGCGCCAAACAGCAAGCGCGCGCACACACACACACCGACACGCCGCCACCAACTTCTCGTCACTGGTGAGCCGATCAGCGCGGCCACAATGCCAAATACGTAAATCAAAGAAAACGCACACATGCCCACACACGTACTCTATACGCGCGCACGCGGCACGACGCGGTGTACGCACCTTCCTCGAGTTTCCCACGGGCACCTTGGACAGCACGAGCGCCATGAGGTCCGGTCGAACCTCGACGCCGGCGAGGTGCGCCTCCTTTATCACCTCGAGCGCTCTCCTCCAGTCCAGCCGGCAGTCGGGCAGCGGAAACTCCGCCCCTGCCCCCGCTGCAGAGACTCGTGCTTGCGATATCGAGCTAGGGGCTGACATCGAGCTACTTCTAGGCAAGGCCGCAGCAGCAGCAGCAGCGCTAGCCGATGTCGATCCCGTGGCCGCCTGTATTCGGGCCACGTCCCACCCGGGGGAGGCCCAAGGCCCGACTCCCGCCGCCGCGCCGCGGGCGCCACCATCGCATGCCCTAATGAGCTCCGCCAGGAAGTGGTTCGCCATCTTCGGCCAGACACCGCCCTGGTTCGGAACCGCAAGCGCCCCGAGAGGGGGGTGGGGTGGGGGGTTACTCATGTTTCGCACGCACGCCTTAGCTGTCAGAACATTAACCACGCGTCCTCGAGAAGACGGAGCTTGAGAGGGGGGGTACTTGTTGCTTGTGGTATCGGCATTGGTGAATGGCGATGAGCACCATTTCCAAAAAAGGTCCGGTGTTACACGGCAAACACAACTACTCCTCGATTTACTACTCATTTGAGCAACAACAACAATTTCAGTTGACCATTTACCACGCATATTTTTCATTGATACCAAGCTCCTTAAGTCTGGCAAGCGTGCCCCTACCTACTCAAGGGCTATGACCATGCTGTTGTGAACAACGTCATCAGGCCTCGCCACCTCGTAGAATAATTTTTCCATGAGTGTTCCACATACGGGGTGGGAGAGATCTCACCAACAACGAGGCGTAAAACTTGGCAGCCCCGCGAAACCACAGGCTATTACTTCCACCAGTGCTGCTGCTGTTGTCGAGGTTGATAACCTTCCGCCATGCCTCCAGAGCTTCCTGCGGCGTTGGAGTCATCGCAGGCCGTGCGGCGCACGGTCAGGCAGTCATGAAAAACGAACCCATCGGAGTCGCCAAGTAGAGGCTTGGAGGGACGGCGGGGGCGGCTTGTATCTGTCGTACGGTGGTACAAGGTGGCTCGCGAGCCGGCAAAAACGGTGTTCGATACGGGTGTTGTACCTTCCTTCGGTGAGGTGTACCTTCCTTCGAGCGAAGAAGAAAACAAATTCTGTCGACGGGTCACACCGGATTTTTGGTCGGCTCTCTCTGGGATAGTTTTGCAGGACCCTGGCGGGGGCCTGCTTGCCCCCCCCCCACCCCCCCCCTCCACCAGTACAAAGGTGAACTTGGAACACCACCCACCGCCCATCGCGTGCGGCTTTCTCTGCTTGACGATGATCGAGGCAGAGGGGGAACCTCGCAAACTTCGTGTGGCACGAAAACGGGGATCGCCGCAGGAGGTATGCGTTCAACCCGAAAAAAAAGCATGGTATAGTACAGCGCACGGCGACGGCATCGTCGGTTGGTTGTTGTTGCTGCTGCTGCTGCTGCTTCGGCAGTGGTACGATTTTTTCGCCACCCACAGATGTATGTATGCTGATAGGTTCAATTTCTCACCGGGATGTGCTCGGCCGTGTGCTTTGACACCTTGTTGGGGTCCTTGGAGTCGTGCCCGATCGCCTGAACGTAGTGGGGGGGGGGGGGGGGGAGGGGCACCGTGTTTGTTGAACTTGAAAAGGCGATCGGGTGCCATCCAAAGCAGCACGAGTCCGCCCTCCCTCTCTCCATATCGTAACACAACCGCCTACACCAAGATCCAAGACCACGCTAGTTGCTTCGAGAGAGAAAGCAGCGACCAAGCTTGGCCGGCTCCCGCACCGTCTCATCCCCGCCCTTACCTGCTTCGCGCTGTGGCGTTGAGCAAGCTCGATCATCGCCGCCTGCCATGCCCGCAGCTCGGAGCTCGCGGACCCGGCGGCCTTGTTGTCGTCGGCGTGGGCGAAAGCGCCAGTAGCAGCGTAGGCGGCCGGGACTTTGCTACCAGGAACACCATCCGGAATGCCGCCGCTGAGCGCAGCCCCGCCGCTGCTGCGGGTGCGCCTGTTTCGCCGCCGTCAGCGCCGCCCGCAAGAAGTGTGTGTGACCGGTCAACGGGGGATTGTTTTGTTTCTCTGTTCAAAGGCGTTTTGTTGTTGTGGGCCAGCCCCCAACACCGGAGACAAAAACAAAGCAGCAGTTTGCAGCCGACGGATGGCCTGTTGTAAGCTGTCGTGGGGCACCCAGCGCCATGTCTTGGTTGCCACGAGGCAAGACCTTGAGGCACAACACGCCCTCCGACTATCCTCCGGTGACACATCCGGGAACAGGGGTCAAACAAGCTCCTTTTGGCTCACGACATGTCCGAAGCAGTGCCGCAGAATACACATATATATGCGTAGGAGAGGCAACTGGTTTCCACTCGCTTGATATGCGAGCATCTAAACCTACCCGTCCTACGTCACGATTGCATGCATAGAATGTTGGCGACGACGGCGGGTTGCTGTTTTGAGAGATGTCCGGCCAACCACATTTGTGTCACGTGCCCGCTGTCCCCAAACACGGCAACTAATCACGTTGCTGCCGTCCACTTCGGCTGCTGCTGTTGCCTTCAGATTACCAGCACCATCGGCTGACCAACTGCCAACGATACAGCCACCCCCCTGCGCTCTCTTGCGTTCACGTGTTTACATGATGTGGACATGTGAAGCACAAAGAGTCTTCTCTAGTTCTGCGAGACAGTACAGCGCCACGGGACTGTCAGGAATTTTGCGGTTGCGTTTGTTATCTCGCACCTGCGCCCAGCCGCAGCTAGTAGAACCCCTCGCCGCTTCAAGTCCCAGCGTGTGGTTGGCCCGAGGGCTTCGCCGAGACGCCTGAGAGCTAGATATTGCCCTCGGCATCGCAGCATGCTTCAACTGCACACACTGCCACACAGCGCCATGCTGCCACACACCTGCACAGAGCCGAGTCAAAGATGAGCGGGGGCTCCGCGGTCGTCTTTCCGCCCAAAGCGTACCCTATCTGTTGCTGAATTGTCCCCCCAGCAGACAGGCCAGCGCGGCACCAGCATGACGCCACACCCAGAGACGGACAGGGGGCGGAGGGACGACAGTGAAAACACACGGAAAGGGAAGGGAGAGGGGAGTGGCATCCACATGAGAGAGAAAAACAGGAGGCAGGCGAAGAAAGCAAAGAAGTGGAGGGTTGCAGCTGGCTGGTCGTACAAGGCGGAGTTCGGATCCATCCGCCCCGACTTTTCGTCACACACTCAACCTGCTTTTGTAAGGCCTTGATTCCAGCAAGCAGTGTTGGTGCAGCGGGAAAACGGGCGGTAGACTACCAAAATCTGTGGGAGGTTGGCCTCGGAGGGAAGTGTAACACCCATGTCCTTCTTCGCCGCTTGTTTCCACCTTTCTTTCTAGCCCAAATAAATGGAATGCTCTCGGACAAAAAGAAGGTCCAGTCCAGTTTGGTGTGCACCCCTATATACGAATTACATAATGTAAGCCCCAGGTAGGGTTGCGCGAATGAACAAGAGGCATGTAGCCCTCAACCCTCACACATGCACCCTCAGTCACCATTTACGAGCACGGGCATTCAAGAAGCACAGGGGGGGGGTGCAAATAGCAGCTGAGGATGGATGGATGCCGTCGGGACTACTACTGGAAAGGATGATGGCGCGTACCGGGAGAAGTTGCGTGCGTATGGCAGTCCTACCCTATAGAGAAAGCAACGAAAATAAGACAGAACAATGTGTGTATGTACCGTAAAAAAGAAAGCATGAAATCGGAGCGAGAGTGAGTTTGTATCCCCGGAAGATGGATCGAAGGTAGAAGAACAATCTTGGATGTGGTGTACTTGTACTTGATTGACTTGTCCAAGGGCGCCGGTTCGATGCCGTAGCGGAACACCGGACCAAGTCTTTTGTTGCTGTTGTTGTTGTTGCTGCAGCTGTTGTTGTTGGTGTCATCGTCGTCGTCGTCGTTGTGTCACATCAAAGATGGCCGGCGACCTCTTCTCTATCCATCCAGCCCCTCTTCGCCCTACTGCACTGCACTCAACGCAAACAATTAGAACCCGGGTCCCGTGGTCAGTTGATTCCAAACGTACAAATTCATCGTAAATAGAAGACAGACTCAGAGCAAGTGAGTCCCATCACTCACATCAGCAAACCAGTAGGCTAGTGTAGTGGACTAGTATCGCAGCTTGCCTCGGGCAACTGTGCTGCTCCTCTAAGAGATTGTCGTTTTATTATGCATTGTGTTTAGGTGGTGTATAGAGCGGTGAAGAGATGAAGATTCGCACAAAAGTAACAGCAGCGAGTGTGATAAATCTTGTTGCACCCTTAGGACGACGGTCAGTGCAAGAAAAAAGCGTTAAGCATATAATACGTACTTTGGATGGACAACGCCTAACACTCAGTCTGATGTCGAGGGAACAGACAAGAATAAGATTTTCTGTGGTGCGTGCAAAACAACGCGAATTGGGTTGTTGCGGAATTGGAGAACAACAACTGTGACAACCCGCATGCCTTGGACTGAGGGAACGCGTGTTTTCCATGTCTTCGCTCGTACCCAGACTGTCCACACACCACACACACACACAAGTAGTTTGGGCTTACTTGCCGTGAGGTGGATACCATGGTGGTGCACGGTAGAATGAAATGAAAGATCGCCCCGGATAGCGGATGAACGCGGATGAACATTTACCCGTCGTCGTCGTCGTCGTCGTCGTCGGATCATGGATCGTGGATCGTGCCGAACTTCGTTCATGCTGTCGACGTAAACTACAGACTACTTGCTTGGGACCGTTACAAGCACGGCCATGTCTTCAATGCACACCCGATGGCCATATGGCATGAACACGTGTCCTGCGGCGAGGTGGTTATCGGATACGGTATTGTCACGGTTCCGTTTTGGGTGGTGTGGTGGTGTGGTGGTGTGGTGGGGGGGTTGGATACCCCCCCGGGTGTTTTTTGTTTGAGAAGAATGAGAGACAGACACTTTGCTGTAAGACTGGAACACTTTGTGCCAGCCAAACTCCCAATCGATCAAGACGACCCCTGGAAGAGACAAATAAATCTGTGAGACTGAAGCACTTTGTGCCAGCCGAACAATTCCAGGGTCGTCTGCTGTTATCCACAGTGCTCAACTTTGTTTCTATACCCTATCGCTCAAAACTCACCAATTTGTTCTGCGCCAACACGACGAAGAAACTGGTCACAGCATGCTGTGCGGGACCACCGATTGAGGTTGACTGCCGTGCCAATGAATGGTGTGTTCGATCTTACAACGTACAACGGCGTGCAGCAATCACCCAGCCAGGCTGTAGTGGTGTGCCCGAGCATCACCATGGCCAAACGGTCCCGTTGTGCGATACATGGCCTTGGTACGCTAACATGCATGTCTGCCTGCGCCTGCGCCACGGTCCGCTGGTCTGCTGTAGAATGAAACGTTTACCCGTCGGATCCATCCGTGGATTCGTCCACCCCTCCACTTCTTCTTCTGTTGTTGCTGAGGGCATGTTGTTTGAGACCGCCACCACACTGGCATGTCTTCAGAGCACACTCGCTAGTAAACTGGCCACACACCACCCACACACCCACACGTACATAGTATGTTGTTTGGGCTTGCTTGCCGTGAGGTGGATACCATGGCGGTGCATGGTGGAATGAAAGATCGGCCCGGATCGCGGATGAACGTGGATGAACATTTACCCGTCGTTGTCGGATCATGGATCGTGGATCGTGCCGAACTTCGTTCATGCCGTCGAGACAAACTACAGACTACTGCTTGGGACCGTTACAAGTACAGCCATGTCTTCAATGCACACCCGCTGGCCAATTGGTATGAACACGTATCCTGCGGCGAGGTGGATATAGGATATGTTAACGTCACGGTTCCGGTGTTGGTGGCTTCGCACGTTGGATCCAGAATTCAAGACTGTTCGGGAACAGAGGGACACAAGCACACCTGCACAAATCGCTCCTTCCGACCCTCTGTGCGCGCGCGTATGTACAACAAGAACGAATATTGTTTCCCTCGAAACGCGGCAAATAGTCTATCGCGGGGCACACGTAGGTGTCGTTCCGCCGAGAACGAAATCCACTTCATTTGCGCGCGCGTAAAATGTTGATGCACAACTCCTCGACGAGTTTCGTCGGCGTTGCCTGTCTGAAGATTTCCTTGTTTTGTTTACGGGAAGCCACAACTGCTTACTACGGTAACACTCTCGAGCACAAGACACAGCAAGAACAAAGTAACTCAAGAGTGAGGACGCCCCAAGTAAACACGGAAAAAGAAATAAATGGCATGAAAAAACGCCTCGAAGCAGTTCTCCCCGATGATCTGAAAGGGCCTGAAGTATTTGTTGGTCGTGTGGGGCTGCAAGCGGCACCATCGCGAGAAGGGTGATCTCCCCGGCAGTTTGCCCCGCGGCGGCGGCGGGGGAGACGGCCGGGGTGCAAGCACTCGCGGGTGACCGGTACCATCGGTAGCAGCAGCACCGGCGGCGAGAGGGGTGACCCCCCGGCGGCAGGGTTCTCCTCGCGGCGGCGGCCGGGGATACGGCCGGGGCGCAGGCACTCGCGGCTAGAGCGGCAGCATCCGCAGCAGCACCGGCGGCAAGAGGGAGGACCGCCAGCGCGGTCATGTTTTCCCCGCGGCGGCGGCCGGCCGGGACGCACGCACTCGCGGACGGAGTGGCGGCACCGTTGATGGGGGACAATATGTGGCAACCACGCACGAAAGAAATTATTTCGGGCGCAAGAAGGGAACATGGAAGCTCTTAGCCATGATGAATGAATGCAGGCTGGCCCAAATCTTCGACTTTTCGCTGGGCGCGGTAGGTATCAGCATTTCGGGGATTCTCCCGAGAGCGTCGTGGCCATCGCCCAATCAGCTGTGTCTGTCCAAAATAATGTCCTACATAGTCGACATGTGATTGGTGGGAGAACGGCATCTACCCGGCTCTACCCCTCTAAAGCTTCGATGATTTTTTTTGGTTCTTCCGGTCCAACACTATTTTTGCCCTACGTATGGGCCCTGTTGAAGTATTTGGCATCTGGATGGGTCCATGGAAAAAATTCCGACAACATAAAAAATTCCGATATAAAATTGTGCGAAACTCCTTTGGAAACCCTTTCATTTTAGTGGGGGGACGGTTCGGTCGTAAATTGAAACCGTCGTTTTGCGAAGAACATACTTCCTCGTCGGGAGGTTGCAGCGGTGTTGCCCGAACCTCTCGTTGGCAGGCAAAATTGGTAGGCACACAGCTATTCAAGCGTCGAAGGACTTGGCAATCCAGCTGTAGATTGGACGGGGATTCAATTTGGTGGAGGATAGGCAACGTTTAGACATAAATCGATCGAGATCAGAGCAATTTGGTGCCGGCAGCACCTGCTGCATGCTCGTGTTTTGTGCTTGACAGTGCCGGTCATCGACACAGCCAATCGTCAACAACGCAAAAGGCACCAATCAAGCTGAAACTTGCGGAAGGCTTCCAAAGTAGTGCAGGACGGTCGATGGGGTGGGTTCTCGCGTCTCGGGCGTTCGGCTAAAAAACGTGCGTGGTTCAGGTTTTCGGACTGAAAGTGATCATTCATTCACATTTGTTTTTACCGTTCTGTGAGACCTCTAGAGACCGTATCGGTCTCTTAGAGGAACTTCCTGGCCGTCCTCATGATTTTATACAAGAGCAGAAGCAAGGAAGGTAGAGGAAGAGGCCCCACAGAGTCCCTTACAGTAAAGGGTAAAACGAAGGGAGTCAACTGTTCCAATTACCACTCGGAAACTCAAGAACAAAGACTGCAGCAGTGTGGTGCCGACGACTGAGCTAAACTTGCTCGCCATGTTTTATTTCAAACGAGAGTCTGGGTGTACTGCTGTGTTTGTTTCTCGTAAATGCGCGCTGTCGTGCGGTTGGCACAGCGGTTGGCACAGCGGTCGGCAAACTGGTGTACTGGCAGCGCGCTTTCTACTTCTCGGTGAGATAGATGTTCATGGCGGAACGTTACTTCTCTACGCACTGATGATCACTAACGAGCGAATTTATTTTCGATCACAGCTAATCGCCCATGCGCAAACTAGACGTGCGAGCACGTTCTTGAATCGGACATTCTTTGGCACCCCAAGAGACAAAACTGGCTTCAAAGGGTGAAATCATTGCTACACAGGGCTCCAGGCGACTCTTCTTGCTAAAAGACAGATCAAACACGATGCAAAACTAAAGGACGCTTCATTCCGGGGGGGTGTCCCCCCCAACTTCTACCCCCAGCGAACGACCACGAAAATATTGCTACGGCTCCAAACCACCCTTCTTGAAAGCCACAGCAGAGGAGACCAGAGCACGTACGGCCTTTTCATTCATGAGTGTGTTTCCCACCACTGTCAACACTCAGTGCTCTCCACCTGCCGGACGTCCATGAAACAATCCACACGGAACTGACGAATCGTTCACTGGCACTTCCACTATAGACTATGCCAAATATACCATACCGCCGCAGTCAAAACGCCAAAAGCAATGATAGCACCACGAATGTCAGCACGTAGGCTAAGCCGATGCCGGTTTCGCAGCGTACCCCGCTGTCGGTGTCGTCATCAGGGCCGTCATGTACGCAAAGGCCCGAGTGGTCGTCACACGACTCGTCGAACTCCTGACCCCCGATCTTAAATATCAAGTACCCGTCTTCGTGGTTCACTTGGTTGCTGCAGTGAATCAGCAATCTGACGTAGCGGTTGTGCAAAGCGGCCTCGAGATTTGGACTCCAGGCCTGTGGGGGTGGATAGCCGCGAGAGGAGCGGCGTTTTCAGTATATATATACTTAGAGAGAGAGAGAGGTTGCTTGTTGAGGGGTAGAAGCGGGCTACAGCACATGCAGACAGCATTCTTACGTACAATGTTGCGGGGTCTATGAGTATGAGCACCACCCGAGGTCCGGCTCAGCACCTCACCTCCCCTACAACTCCCCCATAATATTGTCTCCACTCTGTCGTAACTCTGATCGTGGCTGCATGTCGATCGCGGTACGACAAGTACGCGCTGTGCACACTAGGCCGTTCTCTCTCCTTTCGCTCTACCAATATCCGACTCACCAAGCGCGTTGTTCTGTGTGAAACCTCTCACCGACTGGATCGTGGCGATATGTAGCTGGTCAAAGTCGGTGGTGTAGAAAACGTGCGTGAGGTTGTACGGCTGGCCGTCGCTCCCAGTAAACCAGAAGTACCACTCTCCATCCTCTCCCAGGTACTCGGCCTGTTAACCATCGGTCGAGATCGGTGCTTGTGAAAGGTGAGACCGAGTCACCATCACTCGACTCTCTCAGTTTACGATAGTCCCTCCATCGGTTACTGATGCGTCATGTTGTTTGGTCTTGTCTTCGTTTTCGCCGGCGCAGCTGGTTAGTGCGTTGCCAACGCAACGTGTCGGCGATCCGCATCATCTGGTGTTCGTGCTTGGTACACCACCAAGCATTCACCAACATATGTCCTTGCGAAAGGCTTGCGTACTGCAAGTACCCTTGAGAGACACTTTCATGCACGATGTCCTGGCTGATGAGGTTACGAGAGCAGCTTCACAACAAAACGGACGGATGGTCACGTCAGTCAATACTCGAGGAAGCTGTGGACCTCGAAGAATTATGAACTTCTCTAGAATCGATTCGATTAGCATGCACGCGGGCGGTAATTTCTTCCCTTACCATATCTCCGTTGCACCCCCAACTGACTTCAGACCCGTCAAGCTCAACTACTGGGTTGCCTTCGTTCAGTTGAATGTCCCCTGGAGATAAAGGCTGGGCCAGAGGCATCTCGATCCCGGGCACGGCTGGATCTAGTAGAGTCAGCAGCGAGCGGGGGGAGTCAAAGTTGAATGCTGAAGCGATAGTAGTGGGCGGTAATATAACAACGAAGAGCTGTTCTGCAAAATGTACGGCATGTTTTATGAAGATATGTGGATTGTTAGGGTTCCCGATACATACTCGTTCTCGTGACACCTCTAGAAGGTCGTCGTTGAAGGACGCGCAAACGATCATGGTTGTAATACAGGTTCTTCGACTGGGTCACTCCTCCTGGCACTGTAATATGACTAGCACATTGACTTCGAAGCATCAAAGGACCAAGCTTCGGTGAAGCAGAACGCGCATCAAGGTCTGAGATGCTTCTGAATGCTGTAGAATCTCTCGCGCTAAAGGTGCTCGCAGCACAGATAGATCAAGACCTGTTACCTTCGAACCGGAAGAGCGCCATGTTCACATCGAAGGTTGGGCTGTAGTTCGTAAAGTCCACCTGGAATAGTACGCAAGAATCCTCCTCCATGACGATTTGGTCCTCTTGGTTGCAAGTCAGAGCAAGTTCAATATTTCGGCCGTACAGCGAATCGGACACGGCCGGAGCGATCGAGGTCGGAATTCCGGATACCGTGATCTCCCCGTCGCCGGTAGCGTTGAAAAATCCTTCAAAGGACACCATCGGGGCTGCGTCGGAGCTTTCCCAGGTTGCGGGAAAACTGAGCTCCGTTTTCCACTCCCCGTTGGCCGCCTGATATCGCCAGGAGTCGCCTGTGCAATCAACGGCTTCTTCTGTGCCGTCATCCGCTGCGACAACGGAAAGGGAGAAGAGGGAATTCGGGGCGCGCGTTGATGAGGGGAGCACGGCCGCGGCTGCAGGCCGTATGCTGTTGTTGCAGGATGTCGCAGCAATCGCTAAGTGTAGGGGTCTGCAACCGACTGAACACACATCGAGGCACACCACTACGTGCACTACTTGCGGATTCTTCTGTGCTTCATTTACGGTGTAGACTTGAAGAGTAAAATACGTTCTACGGCAGAAATACTTTTTCTTGAGCGTTGGGCGGGCCGTTCAAATACTGTAAGCAATTTTCTCACCTAGGTACACGATAGGGTTTGCACCGCCAAATGTCGAAGCCTCCGGTCCCCACGGCAGAGAAGCTGGTAGGTTCCAAACTGGAAGGTCACTGACATTGGGGAAGGACGCGAACCTGTACGCACAGCTGCTCGCTCGTGCTACCGCAGCTTGCCGGCCAAGGCACAGGGCAGTGAGTCCTGCGGCTAGAGAATGCCTGCACCGAGGCATCTGTGGCGTGTAATGATCGCTCCCGCGATTTACCGTTAACTGGCTGACTTGTTGTGGTACAGCGTACCGGACAGCGCACAAACTACACTACAAAATACGTATTCGTGTTGTAGCTGGCAGAATGTATGTTCCCTTTGATGTCACCAATCCTGCAGTAGTAACTCTTCTTGTTCACCGACGTAGCTACGTAGACCAAACACTTATTCCCCGACGGAACCAAGTCATCTTGTATGGACACTATTGCGGGATCAAAGAGTATTTTCTCAATGCAGTGTTATGGCTTAGCAAGGTACACCCTAACTACACAGCAGCCGCTGTTGAGGTATAGAACAACACTCGCGATGCGTGATGCGGCGGAACCAACGTCGCTTCGGATGATGATTTCACCGCATTCCCACCGCGGCTTCGATTAAGGAAAAATAATTACACCTTGCATACAGAAAGACTAACACCCATTCGAGATATACCCACTTTGTTCGATTGTTCGATTGTGGAACACCTCATTTCCTTCACACCACTCCAGAGTGTTTTACGGAGCTGGCCTACTGTAGCTTCCCCCAGCTGAAGCTCTCATTCTATAAATTTTGTCGTGTTCTTCTTGTGCTCCTCTCAATGGCAAACCCAAGTCGCTGAAGAAGGTGTTCCCGACGTGGATACTGCTCTCCACAAATAAATAAATACTTCGTATCCAAAAACCCAAGGTTCAACGCCGATAAAAGGCCGAATGTGTGTAGCACCTACCAATGCTCGAATGCTCGGGATATGCGCTCTAGCCGAGCCTTGTCGTATCCGGGGTGTTGATCGATCAAAAAGGCTGGTGGTGCTGCACTCTCTTCTTCCCTCCTTTCCTTCCCCCCTCCGTCCGCTTCGACCCCTCTTTTCGCAATCTGCCAGGCAATCAATGTTGTCTGTGCGTTGTGGGAAAAAGACGGCTGGCTGCTGCTGCTCTTGTCGTTTTCCGCGAAGCATTGCCGGCAAGGAAGTTCACAGGGTTTACTATTTTTGTGCGCCGCTTACACGTATTGACAAGAAAATTATTTAGTGAACCCGGTGGCCTCTCTGTGGTCTACAGTGGCAACGTCGAAACAGCTACAATAGTCGCAAAAAGTCGTGAGTTCGGATCCATCCCCATGGGGTGGGAAAATTACAATTTTGTGGGTAAAAGTGAAAAGAAGCTGAAAAGCTCTCGTGAGTACCAAACTTCGATGTTAGGACCGTTGACGAGGGAAAGGGACGACGGCTGAACCCTTCTCGAAACAAAAAAAGAAAAATAATAAAGCCCCGGTGTTTACCCCCCCTCCTGTGTGACCCTGGATGGGAGTAGTTGCACGAAAAAGTACACTGAAAGGTTTAGCGCTCTACATACGCTGGAGTACACGTCTCACCACGAAAAATGGGAGGACTATCGCCAAAAAAAATTAGGACGAAAACACAACAAGAACACCCAGAGCACGTTCTTTACCTCGGGACACACTTTCGCCACCCAACCAAACAAATCATACATGGAGGGAGGCGTCAAGTCGAACGACATCGAGCAACAAGGGACACTGCTTCGCTGTGAAAAAGACGCATTTCCGTGTTTCATGCTGCAACTCCATACGCCGACTAGGAAGAAAAAACCAAACACCATATTAATATGTTTTTCGTCCTTCTTACCTGTCTCATAAGCACAAACGCGATGCTGATTTGATTTTATCGAGAGTGCGTGGTGTTGGTGAATCCACAAGCGAGCGAGTTTCAGGTGAGGCACGACCCCGTGCGGAATACCTACGATGAGGTGCCTACAGTCCCCAGCCACCGCACGCACGACATGCAGTACGCAAGAAAATGAGCCGGATTACAACTTGGAAGACAAGGATGTCCACCACATCCTGGGCGGGATGGGGGCCACTTTCGGCAGACGTTCGAAAGGGGTTAGGGCTTTAGACTTGAGGCCTTTTCTCTCCAAGTGAGGAGCTCGGAATCTTGATACAACACAGGTACCTCCGTCGGAATCCCGTCTAATTGATTGTACCTTCCAAAAAAGCATGCGCTCCGTTACACGAATCCACGACGAGCTTCGTCGCTATGATAGAACACAAACAAACCCAAGATAATGACAACAAGAAATATCGCATTGAATAAAATATTCAAGAAGCTCAACACAGTGGTCGACAATAACAGCAGCAAGTACAAGAGCGAGGGCAGGAGGCACAAGAAACAACAGGAGCGATCCACAGAGCAACCGCGAAGACGGCGAAAGGGAAATAATCTCGAAAGAACGCACGCGATGCCCAAGCCACCGTCGAGGTGGCCCGATTGCTACGTTGCGATCATTCACCATCCTGTCTCTCTGGGCAATCTGGCAACGAGTCGGTCTACTATCGGTGCTGCGTGGCAAGGCTTAACAACAATACACGAGGCGAGAGCGCCCACGTGATCGAGTGTACACCTACCGGTCGGCACGCGGCCGGCTCGACCAACCCCGTAAAAAACTACCTAGTCTGGACCAAATACTGTAGCTCTACACTAATAACAACAGCAGTGGCGAGAAAGGAGAAGGACTACACATCAATGAGGCAAGCAATCCTACCACTACCATCACCAAACAAACGGTTAAAGGATGGTAAAACAACAGCGCAACAAGCGTTAAGCCTATCCCCTACCCCCCCCCCCCTCAGGAAACTCCACACATTTTTTCGTTCACATGCGGAACCTAAATCGTCACCACACTCCTCTTCCTCCTTGTACACGCCCAGAAAAAAAACTCTTGGCAAAACTTGTCGCGGGAAACTTCATGGGCAATGCGCACTGACAGCAGTGCTTGGCTTAAAATAACCAAGGTCCACAAGGTCACATTGCTACTCCCCCGAACCGTAACACTCTGGGGCGAAAACTGGGGCGCACCCACCACCGGAACCATCACGAGGGCATTCGCGTTTCTGAAACAAAAAGTTCGTGTGTCACGCACACAAAACGGTCCGGGGTCCTGGGCAACACGAACGGAATGAACGGACAGCGCTCTCACCGCGCTCATGGGGTGTTTGGTCTTCAGTTACCGCATGCCAAGACAAAGGTCGAACACATCAGCCCTCACCCGGCCCTCTCGTCGTTTGGCCCAAGAGCCTCGGCGGGCAATAACCCCGCAGAGAGAACCCCAAATCCAACCACGCACCATGCTCTACACAAATTCGGCCGGCGGCGGCGGCGGGGGGGGGGGGGGGGGGCGCGGAAAGGGGAAAAAACCCCCCCCCAAAAAGGGATTTTTCCCTTGGGGGGGTTGCAAAAGGGGGAAAACCCCCCTTTTCCGGCCCTCCCCCCCAAAAAAAAAACCTGCCCCCCCAAAAAAAAAAATGTCAAAAAAACCAAAAAAAAACGGGAAAATTTCAACCCCGGGAAAAAAATTTTTCTAAAAAAAAAAAAAAAAAGGGGGCGAAAAAATTTAAAATAAAAACCAAAACCCCCCCCCCCCGGGGGGGGGGGGGGGGAACCGAAAAAAAAAAACAAAAAAAAAAAACCCCCAACCCCCGGGGGGAAAGGATGGGGGGTTTTTAAAAAAAGGGGGGGGGGCCCCTTTGGCGGGAAAAAAATTCCCCAAGGATAAAAAAGGGCCAAGGGCCCCCCCCCCCCCCCCCC